GATGTTCTTAAATACTTTGGAAAACATTTTTAATCGTAAGACGGAATTGAAGAGTAATAACAAAAAATATAATTAATAATAAAAGGTAACTGCCAGGAGAAGTAGTGTTGTGGGTAGTTGTAGTAATAATAAGCTACAGCACAATAGTCGGAACGGTTATAGACTGTTTGAGGCTTGAGGTAGTCTTGTGAGTACGTCAAACCACAATCGGCACGAAAACGAAAAAGAAAGAATGATAGAAGGATGGTCGGCTTCTATATTTTCCTTATCAACAATGGCGTTTGACGTATGACGACATAACATCTGTACAATCGCTCTCTAGTAACTAGTTCACTAACTGTTCTCATCACAATAGTACTATCACAGGACGGTACTATTACAGTTCGATTATTATATTCTGTAGTTCAATGATGTGAAAATGTGAAATACTAAACAACTGAACTTATAACTTAAGTATTATCCGATTACAAAGTATAAATTAGTAAGTATAAACCTTAGTATAAACCAAGATGTATTTATTTATATACATAATATTTTTTTTATTTATCGATAAATATATGTACACTCGTCCAGATGGCGTAGTTATCCATTGTCTCTGTCGACAGTGATTGTCGCCGCTGGGTGAGTTAGAGATAAAAAAAAAATCTAAAATGTATAGACCTTATACTCTGGTCTCTGAGTATAAGGTCTATGCTAAAATTTCGTAATCGTTCAATGATTAAGCTGAGATGTTAGAAGCGTGCGCAATTCAACGAATTCGACCAAAGAACCTTGTCGATTAAAATAAAATTGTTCTATAAGTCGAAGTTTCTTTATTTAATTAGGGCATAAGTTAACCTATCCATATAATATTCTGTTTCGGAATATGAATTTAAAAATGTATGTTATCGTGAACAAAAATATGAAATTTAATAAAAATAACTATAATAATTCTATATCTTGTCAGATGACACTGTTGAGAGCCTTGCTATCTCATTGTAAATATATTTTGTTTCAAAAATGAAATGTTTTACTATGATATTAAACTATGAAAAATATTAAAATGACATTCAGAAACTTTAAAATTACCTAATAAGTGTTTTTATTGATTGTAGATACTTAAATAGTTAGGTGAGTGAAATGACTTTATGATGTGACTGATGTGAAAAGTTTTTTATATCCTCATTGTCAACCATACTCATTAGTCATGATACAAGCACGGGATAGATAATAATTACTTTAGATAATTTTCTACGATATAAATAATAGATCATGATCCATAAGGATTGATTGGTTCAATATGTTATCTACTGCTACCTTTTTTGTTCAGTATTTTATCTACCGTAACGTTTTTATCTACCATGTATTTTTTAAATTTAATTTAATACAAAATATTATTAAAAAACGAGATATTATATAAATTTTTATTTAAATACAAAATGTATTACATGAATTAATACAATTTTCGTGTTTAAAAATATCATGTCTTAATATATATGTAGATAATAGGTACACATTTTAAAAAAATACAAAAAAGTTAGGTATTTAGTTAGACGTTAACAGGTAATAGAGTTGTTGGTATATTGTAATCTAAATTACGATTTGTTTACATTAAGGGTAAAAACTTCTGAGTCCCTAAAGTACAGCGACTGTAAACAATTTCCATAAATGTGATTATTTTATTTAACTTCAGAACAATTAGAGATATTATTTAAACAATTCTTTAAACTCTTGTTGTCTTTTATTATTATTTTTAATTTTAACTTATTGTCAGCCGTATACGAGCAGTATTAAACTGTACCAAACTTAAAAATCGATAGAATCATGAGTTTTATGTAGATAGCTAATAAATTGAACTGAAAAAATACGGTAGATAACATTGTTAAATATAGATATAGGTACAATGCCTATATAATAAACAATAGACATATCATTATCATATCTACTATAATCTAAAGGCTTAATTTTAAAACCGCGGTCGTAATTAAAAAATATACCTATTAGATAATATTCTTAATATGCATTATAAATATTTTTAAAATTATTTTTAATTACCTTTCAATGAAATTTAAATATACAAAAAATACGTAAATTGTATGCAATATTGGGAAAGTCATTTATTTTTTATAATTAAGATACATTAAGAATATGAATTACTTTTCAAAACTGTGATTAAATTACCATGTTAGGTACTTTTTTATTTGGTCAAGTTATATTGTTATCAACTTACTATTGAGCTAATAAAGAATTTTCATTACTATTAAAATTCTTTTCATTTTTTTCAAATATATCACTGAATCTGTGTTATTAATTTATTCATTTTCGATGTAACCAACATGTAAGGTATGTTCCAAAAATGATCACCCTATTATAAGTATCTCAGTAAAACCCTAATGCATCAATGTACCTAATTAAATGTGGAATTTAAAACAGTAATCTATAAAAAAATTTCAATTTAATGATATATGCATTTACTACAGTATTATTGTTATGATTTATAAATGAAATAATTATAAGTTGTGTAGGTGTAATACTGTAGTACAAGACTTTTAGGATAAAATGTATGTATTATATTTTTGCCTTTCGAGCAGCTATACATTATCCTTAGTCCCTTACCCATTACGATCTCTGCAGAACCTACTTGAAAACTTTAACCTTTTTAGTTTTAATGATAATAATAATAAAAAAATATGTGCAATTTCCTATTGTAATGACTTTTGAGTGTATATATTTAACGTTGATTAAACTTAGATGCTTACAAAAATATTGAAAATAGTTTAAAATTTTGCTTTGGGCTATAATAGCTGTACGTGCTATAGTGATAATAATAAAAAAAATTAATGACAAGGGGTAGACGCTTTTATTTTATAGTTTATATTCAAATTTGATTTTACAGGACTCTAGCTTCTGTAGATTCTATTTAAGCTCATATCTAGTACCTAAAATTTTAATGTAATTAGAATGAATAGTATATTTTAACAGTAACTTAAAAAATATATTTTCCTTTCTTAGTGGTTTCAAATTATATATTTTCTATAGCTAGTATGTATGCTGCTTTTTTGTCTTACAAATTTCACTTTAATTAAAGCCGTTATACATTTAATGATTCAAACAAGTTTTAAATTTCATTAGGCTTGGGCTTTATATTAAATCTATTTTTTTCAGTATTTCAATAAGTTGAGAATGATGGCACAATCAGAAATTTAAGTTTGGGCATAATTTCGGAAATTGAATAAAAATTTAGAATTTTTCAATTTTTTTCTATTTGACATTTTTATCATAACTATTAAATATTTTATATGAATGATCAAAGTATAATGATTTTTTATTTCAGTTAAAGCCTCTGGTATTTACAAGCTACCTATGAATATGGTTTGTTGAAAAACTCTCAAAAAGTAAATAAGATGTCATTAATTTAAATATATACAATGAAAGATTTACATTGCTGCAATGTTTTTCTCAGCCTGTAGTATTTTATTTGTTAAAATTAAATTAAAAACAGACAGTTTAATAATATAGTTATATGCGAAGTCCAAATGATCAGTTAGTACGAAATAAATATAAATTAATTTTTTTTTCATAATAAAAATTTAAAATTTATAGCAGCACTATAGTATAACAGGCAAGTGTTAATCAATTGTATTTTTGACATTAAATATATTATTAATTGTAAAATTGTATCAGTGTAATGGATAATACAAAATATATAACTATATTATAACAATAATTATAACGCGTAAAGTATGTCCAATTGTTGAACTGAAAAATTCTATAACGTAGGAAGGATTCAACTTTGACTGATAAATTTTGATTGTATTATCGTGCTTGATAGCTCGTTGAAATACGTAAGTTGTGAATACAACTATAAAAATTGACAAGAGGCTGTGTTAAACTGGATTTTTTTTGTTTTTCACTGTTTTTTATCTACTATAGAAAATAAGTTAATAATGTTTTGGGTAAGGAAAAATGTAAGGAAATATAAAAACATGCCAAGGAAGTGCCATTCAATAGAGTCATATATTTATATAAATCATGGGTACTTGTACTTTTATTTTTTTGTTCAATTTATTTCTGTAACAGGCAATTTATAAAACAAATTAAATAAATTTTATTTTATACAACTGCTTTATCAGGAAAACAGTTGATCATGAAAATATCAAGTGATCTACTACTTATTTTTTTTATCAATTATACTAAAATCAAGCACTTGTTGTTTGTGTACATCTATACAAAGATAAAATTTTATGGCACAGGTTAATAATCAACAATTAATTTTAGAATAATGTATTAATTTTATGTTTAATGTATATAGATAAAACGTGACTTAAGTAAATCCGTCCAATATTTAATTTACAAAATAAATAATTGTCTATAAATATATCATACAAATGTATTAATAAACTATAAAAATAATGATTGGTCAAAAGATACAATCACGTGTCGAAGAAATCTTCAATATTTTTTTCAGACGGCGCTTTATATAGGCAGTTTAAGGGCATATATCTTCTTCTGTACATTTGTGTAATACTTATTATAATAACCTAGCTAAATACTTCTCTACCTACTACACTACGTACTTCACGATAGCATTTTATTTTTTATTTTTATATTTATCAAAAAAAGAAACAATAACATTATTATTAGTTATGACGGTATATTTCACAAAAAAAAAAAAATCGTTTAGTATGAATTATTACATTTTCTAAAAAACTCATATAATATAATAAATTAAATTGGTTACATTTTTTATTTTTAGTATATTCACATGATACCCCCCTTCTTCCATTTATAGGTGAATATATCTATCAATATAATAACAAATAATGACATCTCTAAACATCTTCTGTATCTTGGTAACCAAATATAAACACCATAATTTAACTTATTTTGCGAAACCTTTTTGTATTATATATATATTATTGTTTCTATAGAAACAAACAAATACGTTTCTACAATCATTATTTTTTTTCTAGTCACAAATAATGTATATTATTTTTGTATTCTTCACTAATCAAGTTCAATAGTTCAATATTATAGGCGTTAATACGCGTATACAGTACGGTTATTGTTTGTTTAGTTATAAAAATAATGATGTTAGTTGTTTATAGTGTGTTTAGTTAAATAGGTAGTTAGGATAAAATGCAATACGTCATGCTCAAAACAATGATAAAAATATTAATACGACGAGGTTGGGCGTGTGTACCGTGATTTTGTATAAAAACTATCAAAAATGCAAATCGTTATTATATGAGTTATGAATTCATCAACCGATGAATCAAACAAACTCGATACTGCAACATTGGGCGTGATTTCCGAATGTGAACGAATAGATTTACAAGAATTTTTAGATTTTTTAATATTAGCCTATCGGATAAACGACGTGTTAACTTCAGAAAAGGGAAAACAAGTACACGATACTTGCAGCATAAATTGGACTGAGCTGTCTCGTAATAATTTGTTTTTACGATTGTCGGATAAAAAATCTGATATTACCGCCGAAAACGAAACGGAACAAGGAATAATGGTAAATACAAGTACTGAACGAGTGCAATGTATTCTCAAACACAAGCTCAAAGATATCATGAATGAGGGTATTTTGGACTCTGTACTTCCATTTATAGTTAAAAAAACGTTGACGACAAATGTTTTGAAAACATTTGAATCATTTAGCTCCAAAATTAGTAGTAATCCTTCGTATAAAGATAAAATGTGTTCAAAATCAAAATGTAATACAATCGAAAATTTGTCTAGATCTAATAAAGAGTAAGTACTTGAAATTAAAATACCATGTTAATATTCTCATCTATTACCATTAACCATACATTATAAATATATTTTTTTTTTAATTAAAAAAGTACGGAAATTGAGATTAATGTATGCGATGCTGTTCAAAAATTAAAAAAAGTATTTCGATGTCCTAAGCGATTACTTATTTCGAAAATGGGATATTTTTCTGAGGTGACCAAAGGTGGGTATAAAAATAAGTGATAAACTATTTATTATTATCGTTTTATGAGATTAAAAATTATTTATTTTTAGGACAACGGTTGGAGGATATCGATATATCAGTACATTGTGAAATTCCTATATTTGACTGGTTAATAAAGTGGGTTAAGAAGGATTTAAAACCAAAAAACGAATGGCCATCATTAGGTATTAATTTATATTTTAAAATAATCAAATATAATAAAGATCTTCTTTTTTTTTAAACACTAATATTTTTGTATAGATAATGGAAATGTAGTACCGATTTTGGTTTCTGCATCATTTCTTCAAATGGAGCCTTTATTTCAAGAATGTTTACTGTTTTGCAAAAATAATATCAATGATGTATTATCATCTTCGGCAAGTTTTGGGTGTGTTAATGATGGAGTTATTACAAGGTTTGTAAGTAAATTTACATAATTATTATTTATTATGTTTGTTTTTATAACTGTCAAACTTGGTTGCGTTTATCCATTTAGATTATCAAATCAGTTTAATAATTGTGATGTAGAAAATATGGTGGACATAAAGGATAAATTAAAATCACGTTTGTTTACGAAATTGATATGGGATTTGTGCAAACGGGATCCAAAACGTGAATTAGGTCATTTTAGTACACTAGCTTATGCTTTTTAGTAAGTTCAATGAATATAATTTTCTTCAAATAAATGTATTTATTTTAATAATTTAAAATTATGAAAATTTTTATGACTTGTGTTAAATATAATATTAAAAAGAGTAATTAATTAATTTACGTAATCGTCCATTTAAAGAACCAAAACTATAAAAAAAAAATATCTTTCTTTTAAAGACATTTTGGATTTTTATTTAAAAATTTCAAGTTAAATATAAATAATAAATATTATACATCGCTCAACAGTTTATATTTTATAATTTAATTTAGTTTATATTAAATAGCTTCATGTTATTTAAAAGAAAGTATAAAATGCATAGTTAAAGTTTCTTTAGTAAGCAATTTCATTAAATAATAATTTTTTTTTTTTATGGTCATATTAAATTAAATATTCACTTTTTTTAAATGTAATATCTAAGAAGAAAGTAAGGTGTACATCCTATATAACATTAAATATCTATAAATTACATCATATTAAATATAATTATTTAATGATTACTTAATTATCTTAACTAAAAAGTTTTTAAGCTTCTGATTAGAACAAATTGTGTTACTTAATTGATTAATTATCAGTCGTCCCTGTTACAATTACCAATTAACATGGAATACATTACAATATTATTATTATACTTGTAAATTTAAGATTAATTTTAGATTTCATTATTATAATAATAATTTATTACATAAGTAAATAAATGATGTTTTTAGATATTGAAACATTAATTATAAAAAGTTTTAGATTATTTAAAATATTTAAAATACATTTATGACTTAAATATACATTTGTGTTAACTAAATTGCCTATTTACAAGGAATAAATATGAAAAACAAAAATAATTATAATTTATTTTGCCTTATGAAATAACCCAAGTGAATATAACTAGCATGTACAATTATTTTACATTATGTACGTAACTAAATATTTTAATATTTTATATGTATATATATAAAAAAATATATATATTTTATTTATATATATTATTCTTCACTAAAATTAATAAAAATGTTTTTAAAACATCAACAAATTTAAATAGTGATAAATAAGATGTTTTATTTAAAATGTTATAAGCACTAAATATAGTTTAAATTTATTAATATAAAAAAATGTTTTTTCATTTATTGAACATTTTATAATAAGTTAGTATGATTTTGTACAGTTTTAATCCCATAATTTTGTTTTTAATAAATCAATTTGTTAATTTTCAATAATTATCATTAAAGCACTTATCAATATCTTAAATTAATTTTATCAATCTATTTATAGTTGCTGTCGTTGTAATACGATTTTGGTTCCAAGCGTTGCTGGCAGGATACCTTGTAAACCACCTACTTTTAAGATTGCTCAAAATGGAAGTGTGATTGCTTGTCATTTAAGGTAATTAAATTTTTTAGGTATTTTTTTCTACATTGTTATTTTATATCATATAGTGAACTTATGAGTATGTACAAATTATTATAAAATTAAGTTATTTTCTTTAAATATTTTAGCATTGTCATTTAATAATATTTTATATCAATATGTTTAATTTTATATTAAATTTAATTATTTTAAAATCAAACCATACATAGAATTATATTGCTATAGTCACGAGGAGAAAAATTTAGATTATATTAATTAATATTACATTATTATTTACAACTATGATAAATTATGATCTCATAAAGATCTTTAGAAGTATAAAAAATTAAGTTGAGTTAAAATAATTTTTTTATTATAATTGTAATATTTCTAAAATAGCGTATGAGACAGTTCCAAGAATGCAGAGTGATCTCATAAACATAAACTTATTTTAATATTTTTAATAATGCTTGTAACGCATTTATTAGTGAAAGGTGTCTATTTGTCATACATATTTAGATGATTTATTTTTCTTTCTATGAAAGTTTTTAATCAATTTCAGACATTTTAACAAGATGTTTGTTACCTTATAAAGTATGCAATAGTTTTTTATGCCCCAAACCATCTCATGAGTTCTATAAAGATAATTAAAATTAAACTACTAATTAATTCATCGATATTAAAAATAAAATTTAAACTATAGAAAATTAAATATAATTCGAAATATGCCAATTAACCCAATGGATCCATTAAATTATTGCCCTGAAGATATCTTTTCTAAAATGTCAAACTATTATTAAAAATATAATTAATGTTACCTGTAACAACAGTCGTTAAGAGTATCAGTTAAAAAAAATTTAGTTTGATATCTATCAAAAAATATTAAAAAACTAGGTTAATGAAAATTGATTAAATTATTTGATACTTATAAGTACTTAATGAATGACTGTTAAAATTTAAAAGGTATATTGAAATTAATTTTAAAATAATTACTGATCCATTGCTTCTAAAAATAAAAAACTATTAAATATTAATATTTAATTTGATAATTATAATCATAATTATAATCATATTTATTATCTTTATGAATTATTAAATTAAATTCTTATTTTTGGTGCTTAGCTATTTATTTGATTTTTACTGATAAATCAATTTATGATTATTATTTATTCAAAAATGTATTTTAATGCTTTAAAAGCTAGTACCTTATGATTATACCTTATTATTTTTTTTCTTATTATAATTAATTAGTATTATTTTTCTTATTGTTTATGTCTGCTTTATTTCTAATTGAGAGTATATTATGTAAATTTGATGGTAAAATTTGTGTGTAGAAATAAAGTTAAAAATAAACAAATAATATTATTTTTTTTTGCAATTTTGATTGTTTATACTTACTATATATTACTGCTGTAGGGATTCAAAATGGACATTAAACGATCACGTGAAGTCTCTATTTTCAAAATATAAGTGTTGGCGGATTGTTTACTGGTCTCTATGGTCAGAGTGTCATTTCATGCGGTGTTCGCGTTGCCAATACATGTATCCGGTCAAGAATCAAAGGTGGTGTCAATTCCATACGCAACAGCCACAGTATTATCCGGTGGAAAACAATCGATATCTTTATTACCCTATTGGTAACAATTATATTTTGTATTCAAATTGTTTTGTAGAAATTATTATAGCTAAGAGTTTAGTAGTAGCGTATTGTTAAAAAAAAAAAAAAACAAAAAAAACAAAAACAAAAACAAACTTGAACCTACGGAAAAAATGTAATATTTCGTAATAACACCTAAATCTTGTATTTTCAAATTGGAAATGTAAGAAAATTAATGAAGAACCTCACCATATTTTTGTATCAACCTTAAATATTTTTATGTTTAAACAACTAAAATTGCATTTTACATGTTGAAAACACCAATTTCTTGAATGATTGATTTCTGAATAAATATAATGTTATACATTTTTGTTGATATGGAAGTTACTAATTAGTTATTTAAATATTAATAAGCTTGAGATTAATACAATAATGTGGAAAATGCTTAATAAATTTAGTTGTTTTTAATTTCAAAAGCAAAAATACAAACGTAAATATGAGGTTGCATTAAATTGCAAATGACTTGTAAGTTGCAATATATTGAAACAAGTTCTATGAAAATATCATGAGATGGGTAGAGTAAACTTTATACACTTAACTCAGTGTTGGAAATAGATAATTAATAATTTATTTGACTAAAAATAAAAATAACTATACTAATTTTTATCTAGATAAAGATAAAGATATAATTACACTAATTTGTATCTAGGTAAAGATAAAAATGAATACATTTTTATTTAGATAAATATCAGATAATTTCGTTAATTTTGCTAATATTTAGTGATATAGGTACAGGTATTAGGTAAAAAAAATATATCATTTAAAAATATAAACATATAACAAAATAATTTATTCATTAGAACATATGAAAAGTCATTCTCTGATTTAACAATACAAAAAGCTTAAAATTGAAAAAATAAAAAAAAGTTAATTTTTGAATAAATTTCATTAGAAGATAACAAGTCAAATTCTGAGTTAATAAAACAAAAAAAATTTACATTTGAAAAAAATAATATTTTTAATTTTAATTTTTCTTTTTAATCCATATAAATAAATTATCTAAATAGGCAACTCTTAGATAATTAGAATATTATCCAGATGAAGATAAATAAAAATGAGTTGAAAGTTATCTAGATAAGATAAAAGATAAATCAATTTTATCTAGATAATTTATTTAGATATTTCCCAACACTGTACTCAAGGAGCCCTATCAATTTTGAGTCGTGTTTAAAAATTGAAATATCTCTCTCCCCTTGGTTGGTTGTACTTCAGATACACCACCGCTTTTCTTGTCTAAGTATCTATTAAATAATTATTATTAATGTAAAATTTCCAATACAAAGCAATTTTATGGAGTGTAAAACAATATTATATTATGCAAAATATCAAAATTTGTGTTTTGTTACTAAAAGTAATTGTCACTAGTGAAATGCATTTTTATATATAATTTATTTGTATATTTTTAGGTCGTTATCCATGTTGCAATGAAAAAACTTTTAAATACGAGCCAATCAAAAATCCATTTGTAAGTTTTCATAGAAATTAAAATTTTTACAAATGTGTTTATTCGCTGCACAAAAATATTCATCAACATTTATTGATTTATTTTAGTTCTGCAATTGGCGCTTGCTTAATAATAACTAATAAGCCTGTTTTTTACTGTACGATTGTAGAAATGATTTTTCTATATGACGGGGTAAATACTTCGTTTAATAAATCCTAACACAAACATCCAATCAATAATATTAATAAATTAAAATTTTATAGACAGTATAATAGATTATAGGACGTATTGTTAATTTTTCATCATTAAATTCTAAGATTTTTTTTAAATTTATCAGATATATTGTTCAGGGATAAGTCCAGAATGGATCATTATATATCATATATTTATTTGAATATATGTCAAAAATATTTATCTTGTATATTTTTAAATATAATCTTAGTATCAGATCCTCTACTTGAAATTATTGTTAAGTAATCTATATATTATTATTATATTAATAAAAGTTTTATACATTTTATTTTTCATATAACAAGTATAATTGCTGAGGTAGCTACAAATAAATAAAATATAATAATTTTTATTAAATACTGTAAACTTTCTATTAAAAAGTTTCGTAAATTTTATTTTAAATTACAGATATTAAATTTAAAGATGCAAAGGGAAGTGATCATTGAGTTACGGGTTAAATTTTTTAGAAAAGGTTAGCGTGAGCTTACAGGGGTTGGTAAGCGAAGCAAAAAGAGGTAGCAGAACCCCTTAGTTATTTACAATTAAATTATTAGATATTACATTATTTTTTTTAAATATATAAAGAATTATATATTTGTGTCGTGTGAAGTGTAACTCTGGAACCTAATCTAACCTTATTAACCTTAGTACTCTCGATCTTTCCCTGATATTATAACATATACTTATAGGTCATAGGAAATTAAGACATATTTAACAATATTTTGACGGGTCATTGTATAAAGATTAATAAAATACGTTTATATATTTATATTTTTTGTTTCAATTTTGCATATCAAATAGCAATAACCATATTAATGAAACATATTGTTTGTATGACATTAATTTTATAACACGAATAAACATCATAATTTATATTACCACATAATATTATTATATTAATTCTGGTTGATACTTATACTCATGTTTTCTGCAAAATTTATACAAATATACAATATTAAATGACTTATCTTTATACTTTATAATCTCTTATAATTGTATTAAGCCATTAATTACATTATAAAATTTAACAATATCAAGTGTTTATCATATTAAACAAAATAATTTATTATCTATATTATTACTTGTGTAAATAAAAATCAGTCTTAATAACGTTTTATTTAGTTAACGGATTGAGCTAAGTCCCATCGTGTACGTATATTAATTTGTTTAATGATAATATTATTATACAAACAATTCGTTAAGTAACGAGTTTATAATAATTAATAATACTATTAACATGATTATCATTGCCGAATATGATAAGGAGTTTAAACAATAATTATGTATTATATTTAAACAGGGTTGTCACCATCGAGAGCACATTCCGTTACTAGAACATACAGCCGAAATAGAAACATATAAAGTTATGCAAATGTTTCCGTCCTTAACCATCACCGATCCGCCCATGTTTTTTTCAAATGGGATTACAAAACATATGGATGCGCATGGTAGGCTGTTGTTTTCATAAAAATATGTCATGTCATTTCTGGCACGTGTTATTCTTACCGATGATTTTAATTTTACCTTTGACCTACTTTTTAAAAAAGATGCAGTACAAACCAAAAATTTTTGAAAAGTGAACTAAAAAATAAATAAAAATAACTAAATTTAAAAATAAATTTAGATTCATAAAAAATATATATACTAGTTAATTTACCAAGCATACTTACCCCTATTTTCTTAAATAATAAATATTTTTAAATATGGGTACGATACTTAATGATTTTATTTACAAACTATTATACTAATAATACTTATTTATATATACTTATTTTTACATCATTAAAGAAAAATTCTGTGGCTATACCAATATATTTTATTTAAAATAAAATATTTAAATATCTACAGTAATTCGTTTTCGAGTAAAAAAAAAAAATTGGATTCGTATAATAATTCTCATTTTTCATAATTTTTTTTGTCTCTCTTAATTATAAAAAAATGATTGGGGATTTTATAAAAAAGATTCACTTTTCTATCTGAAACTACCCTCTTTTTTGAAAAGCATTTTTATTGCCTCAAAAGGTGAAAACTGAAAACAAACAAAAATAAACATAGTAAAATTAATACATATATCGTTTTACTCAGAATTTAAAAAGCTTGTATTGTCATTGACCTCTCTTTAAACGGTATAAAAGTATTTGAATATTTGAAAATATGAACTTAATTATATTAATATAAATACATTTATCACTAAAGAAAAGTGCGAGCAAATATGCTTAGTAAATTCTACAGAACAGAAGGTAAAAATTTTACAATATTACATATTATAATAACTAAATTATACAAGATAACTGTTACTCGAAATTTTTAAAACAAAACTCGAGAACTAATTTTACTATAGAACATACTACAGATTAGTTCGCTTTTAGGTTTTCATAAATTTTTTAGAAAATGAATAAATTTTTAATATTATTTCCTGTAAAATGGTGGTGTGGCAGGGAATTTTTTATAAGTTTACAAGGCTTTGATGTACAATGTATCTATATTTATAAATTGCTAATTTATTATCAACTATAAAAATGATATAAAATTATGATAATTTCAATATATATTTTTAAAAATTCAAAATAATTTTACTATATTTATAATATATATATATTTAAAAGTAAAATCGTATTCATTGACAATATTGTACAATATAAATTACCGATTTTTAAAATCTGTTTTAGAAATAACACGTAATATTCATCTGAGGATCCGTGTTTATTGAAATATTTTAATAGTTTAATTATTAATAATTACTCTTCTTACACTAATTTTATAAACAGGTGATGTAAAGAGCAATGATCAAAATACTTCGGCTTGGACCACTGAATCTCATCGGTTTGCTCCATTTATCGGTAAACTGTTGTATTTATATAGCTCAGATTTGTATATTATTCATCAATAATAATATAATTATTATAATATAGAAATCAAATAGGAGGGCGTGCGCAATATTTTCAAACTTCTTAAACGTGTTTCTATGCTTTATTTATAGCTTCAAACGAAAGTGCGTCAAGGAAATCACAGTTTTGGTGGGATAATATCGTGATGGGCACGTCGTCAAACAAGAGACAACTGTTGACGGAATTATGGGACAAACCTTTCGCTAAACGACCCGTATCACCTAGTACAAGTAAAACATATTACAATGCATAAACATGTATTATTATAAATGTGACTGTATTTTATGCAAATTTATTTTAATTTATATTAATTGACTAATTGCAAAAATTATTTTGGCTATTGCGTGTTCGGCTTGTAAAGTTGAAATATCTGTTCAGTTGAGAATATAGTAGAGGTGATGGTCGAATTCTATTACCCCGCGTACTCACCCTCACCAATACGCAGGGTAGTTTTATTTTGTTTTTTAAATTGTATTGGAAATTATATTTTTAGTAATTAATTCCTACAAAAATAACGTGTTTCCATTTAAAGTACCTAGCATCATCCAAAAAAATGTTAATTAATCAAAAGTATAATATTTTAATAGGTTAGGTTAGGTTAGCTACTATAAAATATTGATGGTGAATGTATTATATTAAGCTGTATCTCGTTACAATTCAGTTTTCCTAGTTCTGTTAAAATATTTATTTGTTCTATATCTAATTTAGTTGACTCTTCTCTAAATAATTTTTATTTATCTTGTTAAAATGTATTTACTATTTATACTAACAATTAGAGAAATATATACATTATACGCCGACTAATTTTTTTTTTTGTAGACTGAAAGTTACTTTTTTTTCTATTAAAATATAAATTAAGTATATTTATAGAATATACAAGTAACGAATAGAGCAAAACTTAATTATAACAATAAAATGTGTCATTTTTTTTCTACTCCAAAATAAAAGGTGACAATAATGTATACGAAGCGACCGAGATTCCATTGAATGAAATTAATTTGTCGTTTGGATCATCATTTGAAGAAGTCGAAGATTCTTTGTCGAGTTTCAGTGACAGTGATTCAACTCATTCTGAAAAGACAACTTATAACAATAAACAACAAAAGATTAAACGGTCTTCGAAAGCAATCAGAACACTGAAACAAAAATACAGGTATTTTCCGTTATATTCTAATAATTTCGGTAAATATTTAAGTAATATGTTTACAGTCTATACAATATAAAAATATTGTAAGTAACTGATAACATTTTTCATTTCAAAGATACTCTGGCACATATCAATGGTCGTTGACGGCACCAATGCGTTGCAATCAGGATAATCAGAGAGAATACGAAGAACGTTGTTTTAGGCAAATTGTACATCATTTGTTACATCAAAATAGTAATTCGAGTGCAGATTGCAGTCAAGTGTTAACTACTACCAACAATTCCGTTGTTAATATTAATCAACGATCTGGTAATTATAATGAGATACCTTCACTTAAGTATAGGTACTCAGTACCTTCTATATTATAATATTACATTTTTTACTATCATAATGATTTATCAATGAATATTGATGATTACTTTGTTTATGTATATATATATATATATATATATATATATATTAGGTGGCTATTACGTAAAACTCGAAACCGAACTTCTATCAAAACTCGACTCGAAAAATGCTCAAAGACCGATGAGTACCATGGAGTCAAAAGGTGTACAAATGAAAACCAAGCTAAAGAAAACACTCAAATCACCTAGTTCTTAACTTTAAATAATATTAAAAATCGTTGTTCGTTACAGTTATTATTTAAAAGTAATATATAATATGTTTGTTATCATCTTAAATGAAAGAGCTTAATTTATGACACAAAAAAAATTTAATGAATAGTTTTATTAAATTACAATTACACACACACAAAAAAATATTTTGAAATAGATATAAATATTATATTAATAATAACTACTTGATAAAATTTTTACAGAACCAGTATTATATCCTAATTTTAATGCATAAGTTGAAACTGAATAAGATGAAATAACAATAATTTTGGTATAGATGTTCTAAAATTTGAAATAACATAATAATAAATATAACTTAAAACTTAAAAGGTTACCCTTTGGTTTGGTCGCCTATTTTGCGACTAGATAATACACACACATACATATATTTACACATACACACAAACACGCATACGTGAAATCACAATTATTGATATTATAATATAGGTACATTAATGTTATACATTAAAATAAATAAAGACTTACGCAATCGGATAATAAGCAATAGGAATCAATTACGAAATGAATCATTATACCTAAATGTGTTATAATACGAGTATTATACATTATTTAAATGTCAAGGGTAGTAATCACAAATCTTAACATATTTTTATTGTAATAAAATATTTATGTATAAATACTGCAACAAATGTATACCTATCTAAACGGAATCATGGAGGACTACAACGGAAATTTACAATATAATAACTGTTAATGCATATATTTTATAATCATGGTTTTTTTGACATTCTCAAATAACCAGGTAATGGTACGTGATTGCGGCTATTTTATTAAATTTCTAAATACAAATATTGTATTACCAAATTTTATAATGCAACCATGACACTTGGGTACAATTAAACGATATTATTCATTAAAACAAGTAACTTGATACAATTCAAATGGTTTATCTAAATTGTTAATTTCTAATAACTAACTAAACTAAATCGTCCATGGACCATACATTTTAATATAATATAGGTTCTAATGAATCTATATAAAAAAAATTATAATTTAGGTGTCTATAATAAAGTATATTTATATAATCGTGTAAATACAATAAACATTTTTGTGACATTAGTACGCAAAATTATATATATATACACTTATACATAGATTAATAACATAAAATTATACGCGTCTATATAGTCATTACGTGGCAAGAACAACGTTTTTTGCGAACTAATCGCGTGTAATATCAAACTACACTGCTCTATATCATAATATATTCGTATTGTAATCGATAAATATTCTATCGATTTTCATCGGGTGGATAAAATAATTTACTACCTACCTATCTAGTTTTCTAATTTTATAAGACATGATTATGTGATACAAAAAATATTTTACACACACTCAATAAAATTATACAAGACAAGGCAACAGCTACCTAAATGATTATTACTACGGATTACGCAATAAAAACAATATATAAATATATAAGTAAAAATAGTGTGAGTCGATAATGATATAACTTTGTCGAAAAGTTAAGTATATATAATAAAATAAAAAAACAGGAGCCATGCGCGGATTTATCGACTTAGCTCGGTATTATTGGTCAAACGGAATTAGCTGGCAAATAGACACACCGGCAACGTCTGATAATATACTATTAACTTTAATACACGTTTCGAAGACTTCGGCAATTAATTTAGTACTGTTAGTACTTTTAGTAATTAATATGTACTGTATGATATACCCACGTATATATAGGTTGAACATATAAGGCTCGGTTATAATTGGCATTCAGCTAACAGAGAAAAAAATTTAAGAGCTAGTGTGGAACAGGAAGTTTTAAAATATGTCATTATTGATATTGTTTACGTAAATTTTTTTACGTTGTTGTAAATTACCATACGTATAGCTCCGAATAGGTTCCAATGAACGTTAGTTCTCTGTGGTTAGTTGTTTCACACAGCGGGTTATATTAAAATTATTTTCTAGTTAGAAATGTATACAAATATTTTGTGGCTTTTTAAAAAAACAATTTGCAATAAGTTTTAAATCTTTGAAACCAAACTTTTAATTTCAATATAATAACATTTCATAAACTCAGTATATATTTGATTATATTTTTAATGAAAATCGGGACGGGGATATGATTGTTTTTATATTATGCAACGTGGAAGACCTGTAGATAACCCCTGACGACGGGGGATGAAGGTCGCTGGAAAATGATGATGGGCAGTGATTCAGTCATGGTAGGAGACGTAAGACTCCAAGGGCTTGGGCAGCTTTAGCTCAGCCACCGTATCAGGGTGTGCGTTACCGTGGCGGCCACGGAAAAGCGACCGGCGTATAGACTTGCGACACAGCTGCTGCAGCGAGTGTGGTTGCACCCATTGGGGTGCTAGGGCCTTTTTGATCTGGAAGAACACCGGTCCGAATATATTGTAACACTGAGCGTGACTAAACATGGTACGCATGACATGCGAGTGCATTCTGGTCGGGTCCTCGCCCATTGACTAAATATATTGAAAAAAAAAAAAAAACGTTAAATTGTTTAATGTTTTCAAAAAGAAAAGAAGAAGAATCACACGTTAACATATGTTATATGTAATATGTATTGACGTATGCAATAATAAATATACAGACGTTAAGTAATACATTAATACAATATAATATATCCTACGCATATTATAATTATATAGAAGTTAAAATTATTGAATAGATATACACTGGCGCACGCCGCACACTTAGGAGTCGGATACAGGATCAAAATGAGTGGTGGGTGGCTGGGTGATTGGTAAAATTACTATTAGGAATGTAGCGAAATTGATTAAAACTTTTATTTATATATATATATATATATACGCTGTATATGTCGATAACATTATGATACTGTTTAGCTCATTAATCAATACATTTAATGAATATGCGCTACTGCAATAAGTATAATATAATATATGAAAAAGATAAATTTGAATAGTGAAAAAATTGCAGCATAATATTCACTTCTATGTTTTTGAAATAAATTATTTATTGTAGATTAAAGCTATATCTACAATACAACAATATAAATTTACATAAGTAGAGTAAAACTGCAAGGTTCAGGACCTACAAAAGTTTAAGTCCGATTAAATTTTCCTTACCTAAACTTTAAAATAGTTTAAATCCTATTATTGATGAATAAAGCCCAGATTAATATGTAAAAATAAATTTTTAATATTATAGTACGTACACGAATATTTAAACAAAAATTCAAAAATAGATATATCACTTTTAAAAAAATGGATCTCAATCTCATAATTTATTTATTATTAATATAAGCAGTAAAACTGATTTTAATCCTATAATTGATACATTCGTGCCCATAATATTATAACACAATTATGTAATAAATTATATCTTAAAAGTATAAAATAAACAAGTTATAACTTACAAATACAATTACACTATTATGAATTATAAAAGAAAAATGAAAAATACTGAACGGAATTAAAAATGTTGAACCATGTTGGATTACCTAGACTGAACATATCACTTTTCTTGCAAGAGATGGAATAGAATATATTGTTACTTCTTATATTAAAGTATTTAAATTTAAAATTAATGAGAAAAAATAGTAGAGAACAATCAATGTCACCCAAGAGTAGATTATACATAGGTAATGTTTTTGATAGTTATAGCATGTTATTTGAGTAAGCAAAGAAAGATTGATGCATTTTTTTATAGTATATTATAATATAACACTTAAGTTATTGAATTATAGAAGTCAACAAACAACTTGATTATAGACTATTTTTAATTTTATTTTTACACAATATAAATGTATACTTAAAATATTTAAGAAATTATCAATTAGTTATGTTAATGCACATTTACGCAATACAAATCATTACTAATCATATATTTGAAACGAGTATTAATACGAAGATATAAAACAGATTTTTAGATTTTAAAATTGAAAATTTCAATAATTGTCACATAATATGAATGCATTTCAAAATGTTTCATAATTGTATTGACTATTTAACCTTTGCAGAAATATACAATTTATGTTTTTTAACTCAATAATGCCAAAGTACTTAATTAAAAATAAATGTTATCATAAGCTATGAATTTAATAATAATTATTAATTATGAAGCGTAATCATTTTTTAGTTAGAAAAATGATATGCACTTTAATATTCGGACCCTATTAATAAAAAATATTTATTATTAATCTTCATATTAATTGTTTTGTAAAGAACTATGGCGTTATAACAGTTGGGTGAGCCTTTATATATATATATATATTTTTTTTAAACTCATAAATCAAAAGGTAGACATTTAAAATTTGGTGTGATAATTTATATAAATTATTCTGAACATTTATCATTACATTATACCAACCTGTGAGAGTAGTGACAATGTGCGCAGACAACTGTCATCCATGCGCCTTCTGATCATGACGGATCGTAGGAACCAAGTGAATATGCTGTCTAGCGGGCTTTCAATTGGGTCATCGGTGAGACATCTTTGAAGATCCGTCTCTGTTTTTGTACGGTATTCCTTCAGAAGTTTCACATAGTGAAGTCTAGCTTCCGAATTGCAATCTGTCGGCAACGTATAAAAATTAAAATAACGCGGACAACTCTCGATTTACTGTACAAGGTTTCGAATGTGCCTATAAATGGCTCTAAGTAGGTCACAGTAATGGATGTATTAAATTTTAACTAAATGATAAATTATTGTTTAATAAATACGATTTTAAACGAAGACCAGTATGTCAGCCTCTAATTCTAAAGATATTTTATACTAAATTAATATATTATCATTAAAGTAGTGATTTTATTTCAACTAAAATACTTGACTTATAAATTATAATAAACTAACAAATTATTCAGTATTTTTAATTTTAAGGATCAAGTTATTAAAATGTAAATAAGTGTGATAAAAAATGACAGAGCCATGGAAGACACATACCCTAAAAAAGTAAAAAATAAACAAATACTTATAACAATTTAAAAACTTTAGGATATGCAGTAAAAAAATGTTTCATGATGTAATCATAATTTTCTTTTTTGATAAAATAATTTATTTTTTAACTACAAAAAAAAAATTGTGTCAAAAATAGCTATTGCGTAAATATTTCCGCCTTAGTTTTTCCCAGTTATTAAAAAATGACAAGAAATTCCCTACGTTTGACCCACGGAATATCATCTATATCAAATTTTTTATAAGAAACAACTTTCAATGATGGAGATTGAACCATATATTAAAAATGTGGTGACAGACATATATAAAAACTTACATCATTGTAATAGGTGCCAAACATTGTTCACCCTGCTCAGAATCTAAAATTCCATCAGTCTTAGTCACATTGACGTACTTAAGTCGAACCGATCCTTTTTAGTGGTTGAAAAATAACCCTGTATACATCGACCCACTGGAAGGAGTATTTCATACCGTTCAAATATGGTTGGACTTTTAAAAGTAGTAGTCTAATCTTGGTATATTACTACTCCCCTAGTGAAAATGAATTTCCCATACCTATTGATTAAGTATTCAATATTTAATTAATCTCTTAATTTACATTTATTTTTATACTACTCGTATATTATAGTATATTTTATTTCAACTATCCTGCGGCTGCAGTGCACACTTTATTACAAACAACAAAAATGTAAAGTCACGAGCATAACAAATAATTTTACTGATTAATACTATTTAAATTTATTATACATGTGAATGATAATTTTTCACCGTGTACAGATTTAAAACAAAGATGTTAATGATATTGTAAGAATGATTTAGTATACTATGTTTAAGGATATTCAATACTGAAAAATAAAATATAAATTATGAAATGTAATTATAATTAAATTATCTTAAATTATTTTTCCAACATTTAATAGGATATTAATCAACTTAATATTGTAGTATTGTAATTAATTTTAAATTCTAATAATTATAATAAAATATATGTATTGTAGATTTTCTAGAAAAGTTTTTGTAAAATCGTATTATTCTATTGGATTGATTGTTATGTGTATCTAGGATTTTGTTTTTTTACAACAATTGAACTATAAGTATTTGTTAGTATATAAGTAGTAGATGAGTAATGAGTATATTATATTATTATAAGATGAGATGACTTTATACTTTTGGTTGAATTTATAATTCAATAAATACTATGTATAAAGTTAGTTTTTATTACGTATCAAAATGAATATGACTATGAAACTTAAATCTTAAACTTTAACTTTAATTTTTTGATTCAAAAGTTTTTCGTCACAACTATTAAAACATTGTCTAATTTATTAAATTTAAGGCATTAAGCTAATTGTCTATTAAATACACCACTGCGTGTGGAAGGGGAGTTATTTTCCTCTAAAAATATAGGACTTTAACCCTTTTCAGTTTGATATCCAATTGGTAGTTATGAGAACAAGAGTTGTGTGGGGGAGGACTTTTTCATTGTCGATCGTCTCACCTTCTAACCAGACGGTCGCTCCACAGTTTAACAAGAGTCTAGTGATGTCTATCGCCTGATCCATGTAGTGGACAGTATACGTGATCAATGATCGACCGCCGTTATTCAACCAGTTTACGTCACTACCAAATTTCAGCATCATGACTGCGAACTGGTACGCACGTTTAAATAATCCGCAGTTCATTAGCCGCTTGGCGCCCAATATTAACGCGGTGTTGCCGTTCTCGTCCACAGCTCGCGACCACCGGCGTAACTGTGCGACCGTTGCGTTGGCCGATGTCTCTTTCAACCGACGTACCACTTGCATCCAATTTTTATGGATATCTCCTGCAACCAATATAAGTGGTTATTGTTTATCAAAATATATTTTTGTCTGTCAGAGGGTGGTTGTTTTCCACGTAAATTGTGTGAGTATTAATGTACATTTCTTACCCGAGACTATATCGAAAAATATGAAACAATTGGCGTTTGGCACGTTCGGATGCTTCAGACATTTTGGGCTGGACTTGAACCGAAAGCAAAACTGTATGTTCGCTATCTGAAATAAAATAGAAAGTTATTTATGACAAACTATGTAACTTTATTAATGTTGATTTTTTTCCCTCAATAACGTATAATATTTTATGTATGCTTTTGTAAATTATATACGCGTATGGATTGTGTTTGAATAGATTTTTTTTTTCATTTTCACATATTATTATGGATACAATTCTATGTAAAAACAATGATGTGTCTAAAACTCTAAAATATAAATGTAATAAATATTAGTAGTATATTATATTATTGAAATTAAGGTAGCCATTTCATGACACCTGTCACTTGTCAGGTTTGAGTTTACATAGATTATCATCAAAAAAGGTTTAATGGTTATAATTGATGACAAGGTTTATTCAGTAGTATAATAATTGTTAATATCGTGTAAATTTACTTTTAATCAATTAAGCTTATTAGAACATACTAATATATTATGTGTAAATAAATATATTCACTTCTAAAGTGAGTTAACGAGGTTAACATTTTTTGATTGAGTAAGTACATAAATACAAAAAATGATCAATTTGCAAATTTGCATATGTGTACCAGTATATAGTATAAAATATTCTTAACCTTAAGATCTAATAAACTAGTTATGCAAAGTTATGCCTAACCTTAGCAAAGTTTGGAAGTATTTATGGTAAAAATATCATTAATATTGTTGGTATAATTAATAATTATGTGGTATTATTCTCAAATATTTAAGTATTATAATTTTTTTTTTTTTTTAATGTACTTTTAATAAAATTTAAATTATTATTACAAAGTATTATAAAATAGTAAGTATAAATAACAATTTACCGCTGGTCGAGTTGCTATCAACGCATCATAGTCTTTGAAACAAAATAATTGCAACTTATCACCGACCAGCCTCCATTCTCTGAACGCACACCTGCTGCAGCAACCTGCTTTTAACAAAAATAAAAAATAATATCATTAAACATTCTAGTCTGTGTATGTATATAATGATATTATATATTGTCATGACAGCTGGCAGGATATGTTCTAAAGTCAGGAAGATCGAAACGTATGTGAAAGATATTTAGTACTAGATATTTGAGTAGTAGGTATGTACATAGTAATTTACGAAATTATAAACAGTACTTATTTATATAAAGTGAAGCTATAAAGTACGCATTAATAATAATACGAAATGTTGAGTACACACTACGCAGTATAAAATTAAGTATACGGTGAAATAACGGTATTATGAAATTAGTTTTATTATTATTTTTGATTCATGCGTTTTAATTTAATTACTGTAAAAAAAATGTAAAACTACGTTCATCAGTTATCAATATGCATGCAAATTTAAGTTAAATAATTATTAGCTTAAATATTGATAAGCCCGCATCCAAAAATTGACTTTCACAGTACTTTATAAACAATCTGATGAGTTCAAATTTTTTATCAAAATTAAATTCAGTTACTCTAAATACCGAATATTTAAAGTATGTATATTATTTTAATTAGCGAATGAATAATACATCGTCTGTCAACAGTCAAGCTAGAGATGTTTGAATGCTTAATTGATGGTAGCATAATAGATTATTGTAAATGATTTAGATACACATTGGCAACCCTCCACCTCTGTAGAGACATGTTTGTGTATGGCCCAATCAATAATTATCCTTTATATTATGTAGTTTTCAATACAGAAAAAAAATAAAAAATAAACTATTTAACCTTTGCAAGAACGGGAAAGGGTTTATATCGTAGAAAACTGCATACGAACTAAATGTGGGAATTTTCAATATATAATGTTGATATATACGGGGTTATCCGTTTAACGTAAGATACTCATTATTTAAAAAATACATTTTGAAAAATATTTCTTTCTTTTAAATAATTTTAAGTTATTAAAAAATAATGTTTTTGGAAAATTTTATATTTTTACTATTTTTAACATTATCATTTTAAAGTATATTTTTCTTTTTAATAAAAACATAATATATATTTATTTACAATTTGCATAAATCGTGAAAACACAAAAGTACGAAAAACTAAATAATAAATACATTTTTGTTCAATCATTTCAATTATCATTATATTAAAAACAATTTTTAAATATAAATTATAAAATTAAAATATATTTAACGTTTTATAATATTATTAATGCATTAAGTCATTTTATAGGCATTTTTATTGTTTTTGGGACTTTTAAATTTATTCTACTTATAACACATAACTCGTTTGACCAATATTCAATTTTTATATATCGAAGTACTTAAAAAATATCCTGCTTTGGAATAAAAATTAAAAAAATTAATATTTAAAACATTTAAAAAATAGCAAAAATATATTATTTTTTTAACTTTGCTTTTTAACGTGTTGAAATTATGTAAATGAAATATTTTCAAAAATGTTAATAATTTTTAAAATAACTAGGGTTTTACATAAAATGGATAACCCAGTACAAATAATATATAAGATATTGCTCAAACCGCAAACATACTTTTGCATTCTCCTCCATGCCATTCACCGGCAATTATTTTGTCAATATCATTGTCTGCCGATGATATACACAACGTAGACACTTCTGCTTGGCTCTCTGGTTGTTGGCTTTCTGACGATGGGCCACCGGAAGCGACGTCTAACTGCAATGAAACCAGCGGGTCATCGCTGCAACCTTCTGCACCCTCGGTCATAGTGTCATTTTTGTCACTGTTATCAAAATTAAAAATATATTATTCATAAATAATCTAGATTTTTTTTTTTATTTCAAGTTTTTTTTAGCTACATATACTACAAAAACATTTTCAGAGCGCTAAAGTTCATAAATTTTGCCCTGAAAAGTTTTCACAAATTTTTTAAAAGTTTCGATAAGTTGAAAATCATTTATTAGTATTTAATTTATTAAATAAAATCGAATATAAATAACTTATGCTAATAAATAATAGTAGGTATTATGCACTATACAATATAGTAATTATATTTGTATTACTCATTAATTGTCATTCCTATTAATTGATGTTTTACTGCATATGATCAATACATATTGTGTACTAATATCTAATTAATTTTTACTGAAGTTAATATTTCATACTAAGTAATTGAAAACTTAAGATAGGTTGTTAAATCCTATAGTTTAACGTGTAAGATATAACATACATAAAGTTGTATATCTTTTATACTTAAATAGATAGGTATGTAATAAACTATATAATATTCTATCAAAATTATTGATTGTAAAGTGCTAGGTACTTAACGTAAGTATTAAGTAGAATTGTTAATAAACTGTTGATATTTTATTGGCTTGATAAAATAAATTATTATCATTTAAAAAATAAAAATAATTAAACGATTATATTGAAGTACAATAAACAGCACTTACGAAATTTAAGATTATGCCAATTACTGTGTCACTGAACTTAAGAATAATCATATATATTAAACACAGCATGATTGTTAAATTAAAATAGTAAGAAATATGATACATATATAATATCAGATATCAGCTATTTTTTATTGATATTTCGATTAATAAAAAAAAAATTTAAAAAAAATATGTTTATATAAATATTACCGTATTTAAATATACCTATTATTAATTTTATTTATCACACATAGATATTTCACTTTTCGAACAGATCATATTAAACAATAAACTGTAATGCATTTAGATGATAAAAATTTAATGTTTTTTTTTTTAATTATTGTCTAAAAATTTGACGATTACATCAAGTAGTTTACACCCAAGTTCACACGGTCATAGTTTTTGATGTCTTTATAATTGACTTCTGCGATAGCGCAATAGACAAACGCGTAGCGGTAGTCAACTTAAAATAATATGAAAAAACTGTGTTTTTTATCTTTACCGTTATTCTATATGTTAACGACGTGTGAGGTGAACGGGAAACAGGGGAACATGGAATGCTGAAGGTTATTGCCTCTTCTACACCGCGCACATAAAGACTCCGTGCAATGCGGAATAGTTCAAATCGCCGTAATAATGCACATTTATAGAAAGTGGAAGTAGATATGTATCACAGTGCGATGCATCGTCGTAGTTACCATGTGCTATAACGACACTGGTAATAAGCAATATAATATTATAATTTAACAACGATAATTATTACTTATCATATTTTATGTATCATATCTATATTAAATACTATATTATAATATATACGTTGCACTAATTTGAGTATTTTAAATTTTAAATATTTTTTTTATACATTATTCGTGTGACATCCATTAGTATACAATTGTACAATTTAATAAATATAGCTCGTCATTAAACATTACTTACAAGTTGTCATAAATCAAATGCAAAACCGTTGATAATAATTAATATTATTGTTTTGTCGATATCCATTATTTTTTAATACATAATAATACTCAATACTCTTTATTAATTTACATTGCACATCATGAAATACAAGCATTAATGACGACTATAAATATAAACTACTATCATATGTACAACAAATATGAAATTATATTATATCTATAAAATATTATGACACCAAAACAAATATGTTATAGGTAAGTAATTATTAATGCAATATCACGGAATTTCTTCAATAATGAGAAAAAAATATTTTAACTTATAAGTACACATTAATTGGTTACATTTTTGTATTTTATAAGTATGAATCATGAATGCACGATTTAGCTGGTAATTTGCATTGATTGCAGTGTTTAAACTCGTATTTTATATCAATAATGATACGTTAGGATTAAAATATCATAAACATAAATATTATTTTTCACTAAGTATAAGCTTCAACCACGCCTTGTTAAAACATCATTGCAGGGTAACGGTACATAATATTACATTACTATATTACATTATATTATAGTATCATACTATGTTATATGCGAGTAATAGTACCTACATGGCATTATACTACGCAATTCACAATTATTCACATTTTATGACTATTAAAGTGTTATCAATATATATATATATGCTTATCTATAGTGATACCTATTATACCGTATAACATTGATTAAACATACATGTATCATGTATGTATAATCAATGCTTATTATCATTTTTATATTAGTGTCTTACATTGATATGTTTTATAAATTTTTTAATAATTTTCAACACTATTTGTAAGATGTAAGCTGTAACCATAAATTATTTATTCAATATATCTTTCAATCTTGATTCACTATTTCTTAATTATATTTTATTATTTAATAATTTTTCTGTTTTCAACATTTTAAAATATAATATAATTTAATATACTATAACCGTACACAATAATATAATAATAGATTAGCAACAGTATTTTAATTTTATAAAAAAAAACTAAACAATTATTGTATTAGTTATAATTAATTTTTATGTATAATACCAATAAAATATTTTATAATTTTCATTTTTTCGCACTGGGATAATATTTTTCTGATCTTCGATTTTATTCTAATAAAACAATTAAATTATTAATATAGTGTTGTTGTTTGAATTGTCCTACGTATTTTACTATTATGGAAACATTGGAAACACAATATAACGACAGTAGATTTTTAATGGATTATAATAATCTATCTTTAAATCTTAATAACTACAAACAATATTAGCATATTATCTGTTAATACAATAGACAAAATTAAAATATAATAATAAGATACTAAAATAAGATAAGATCATATTATACCTATAAATTATAATAGAATCGAGACAGTTTATTGAAAATCGTAGTAGGTACTTATATGCCTAATATTTATATTTAAGTAGAAAATACATTATATACAACATTGTTGAGGCATTGAAAAGTAAGTATTATACCCATACCTATATTTGAAACGAAAGAATATTATATAGATGAGTATTGTGCAGGCACAATGCAGAACAGTACGCATAGGTCTGTTCTAACGGTTGTGTGTCCGTTATGTTCTTCATCGTTGTAACGACTGAATGAGCGCGTGTTTTTCGGCTACATTACACACCACTTTAAGTCGTCTTGGGAAATAAATAAATAATAGGTATATATATATATATATATATATATGTGTGTGTGTGTAAAAAAACCTAGAGAATAAACTCAGAACACTTTTTAAAGATAAGTGTGCAGAATAGGAAAAAACCGACAAATAAATAAAATAATATAAAAAATAAAGTAATGAAAGGTCGATCCTCTTTGCCCGTCGATGACCTCTGCACGTATACTTACATACAGTCAATATATTTAGTCACTATCCTTTATATTTAAAAAATACACATGAGTACATGACACTCAATGTTGTGCAAAATTTTTCTTTAGCTTACTCATCCCTAACCGTTCACGAACACTATAAAGATAATATTTCTCAATTATCATTACCTATTATATTAAAATAAACTAAACAATTTGATATTTTCAGTTATTTTGGATTTTAATCTTTTGAGATAATAACTAATTTTCTCATAATTTGGGTGTTATATACTTTAGGTTTGTTTAATTTTATGCTAGATTAATAAAAATATAACAATTTATCACAAAATAATAACTTATATAAGTAATGATTCCTATATTCAATGTTTTAATTAATGTAATAAAGTTTTAAATATGATTTGATAACAATGGAATAAAATCAAGACACAGTAATATCTAGTTAAGGTATTTTGATTAATTTGCACTCATATAATAATAAAATATTAAATTACATATCACATATGAGTTGTAAGTAATACTGTATCTAATAGGTAGCTAGAAGTATAGTCTATATACATGGTTTATAATGAATACTTCAATTCAATTACTTATATACCTGAGTGGTAGAAAAATGTGAGAAATGACAACGTATAATATTACTGCTATTTTCTGCGAAGTTTATGAACTTAAGCTTAAAATGTTTATGACATTTGAATATCACATTTTTTGAAAATTCGATAAATACATAAATTCTAAAATATTTGCCAATAGAAATATTTTATTACGCGGAGATCATATTAATAAATATTATAACTTATAACTCAGTTATACTTAATTGAATTTTTTTAATTTTAAAAATAACATCATGATAGAATCTCAAAAAATACAATTTAAATAAAAATGTGTTTACACTTTGCAGATTCCAAAAATTGAGTATTTTCTGTTATTATTTCGGTAAAAATAAATAAAGTTTAAGATATTTATTTTGAAAAATATTCACTTAAGCGTAAATAAATGAATTAAAAATCGTCAATATAATATATTATAATGTTGGAGCATTATAAATTTTGTATATTATATTACTCATAACTCATAACAAATGCGCCAACTTCATGTTAAAAGCCAAATGCGTGTATAGATGTATAGTAATCAAACACACTCACTTGTTCGAGAATTCCAGATGTCCGTTGAGTACTAAAATAAATAGACTGAATAATGAACGCGAATTTGTTATTATTTCGAGTGGATTGAACACGAATGTATGCGATGCCTACGTAAAAAATTAACGAAAATTAAAATAAATGAAGCAATAATGTAAAGAATGAATACGTAATTTACTAAATACCTATATAGTTTAAATAAAAAATTGTTTAATTTGAAATTCCGTCAAACATTCGCGTGCTAGCATATATATAGACTTGAAACGCACTAATAATCGGCGTTGGCCCGAAATGCATAGTGAAGAAAAAATTACAAAGTGAGGATAACGAAAAAAGACGAAAAACAAAAATAGGGGCTCTACGCGGATTTCTCAATCTCAGACAGTCCACGCTGTCACCTCAGCATGGTTCAACG